AACGGTTACTTGGGAAGACAAACGCCATCACTCCAAACGTCCCCCCCTTCCTTCTTCTTCCCCCAGTTTATATACTGAGCATGACGTCCTATGGTATGGCATAGCCCTTGGGCCAGTCTGGGTCAGCCCCCCTGGCTGTGCCCCCTCCCAGCTTCTTGTGCACCTGGCAGAGCAGGGGAAACTGAGAAGTCTGTCTAGTGTAAGCACGACTTAGCAACAACTAAAACAACAGTGCGTTATCAACATTATTCTCATCCTAAATCCAAAACACAGCACTATGCTAGCTACTAGGAAGAAAATTAACTCTATCCCAGCTGAAACCATGACAGAGCCCTTGAGCCAGAACTCCCTTTTGGGGCACATATGTGTCTGGAATGTTTGTATGTGCTGTACTGCGAGCATGGGAGATGGTGTGGCTCCCTTGCTTCCTTCTCTCTCTCTGTAGCTGCAGATGTAGCTGTGTTGGCATGGCACGGCATGGCATAGAATAGACTGGAATAGAGCAGAGTAGAGCAGTTCAGTTGGAAGGGACCTACAACGATCAACTGGTCCAACTGCCTGACCACTTCAGGGCTGACCAAAAGTTAAACCAAATTATTAAGAGCATTGTCCAGAACACTGGCAGGCCTGGGGCGTTGACCGCCTTCCTAGGAAGCCTGTGCCAGCGTGTGACCACCCTCTCAGTAAAGAAATGTTTCCTCATTTCCAGTCTGATCCTCCCCTGTTGTAGCTTTGAGCCATTCCCATGAATCCTGTCACTGGATACCAGTTATTTGCTTCTTCCTGTTACAGACTGGCCTTTAAGGGGTTATTTAACCTCTTAGGATAAAATAACCTCACTTTTCAAAGAGTTTTTTTTTTCCCCCTAAAGAAAAAAGACTTAATACAAATACTCTCTTCATCTATTGCTTTATAACTTTTAAGCCCATCGAGTCATTTGGTTAACATGACAAAAAGATTAGAGGGCTCGAAGATAGTAAGTTCCCACAAGCCATGAAGCTAAGTGGTCAAATTAGGAGGTAAGACTACGGTAATGCATCATCCAGTGAAGAAACTTTCTATGCCCCAGATGGGACAAGAAGAGGCAAGGAGAATGAGTGTTTATCCTTTTTTTTTTGGTTGGCAATTTGCTCCGAGCAAGCTGCATTTAATCTGCTGGGCTGCCTTTTGCTAAAGGCCCCGCAAAGACAAGAGAATTGAGTCTACGGTAGTGGCTGGGGGCAGGGGGATGGGAGGAAACTGACCATCAGTGGTAGCATGGGACCTGGGGGAGAGCAGGGGAAA